CCCTAACGCTCAGTTACTAACCCTAACCCTCAGTTACTAACCCTAACTGTTTGCTTTAGTGGCGGGGTACTGAACAAAGTCCAAGTCTTAAAGTACAAAACAAGCCAGAAACCTATAAATCTAGACAGGAAATAAAACAACAATCTTCACATGGCTGAATGAGTGAAATCCGCCCTGAACACACAAGCTATCCAAACTATGACCATCTAAAGTGTGAATGAAGTCCATGCTGATTACATCAGATAACAAGAGGGCACTTATGATGATTTTGACCACTCCACTGTCTCTGTAAGTTCTTGTATGTTTGTTGCTGTAATGTCATTTGAACTCACATCCTGAAGCAGCTTCTCCAGATTCTCTTGCAGCTCAAAGAAGTAAACCGAGGTGATGAGGCCGTCGCGGGATTTGGCCAGGCAGTCTCTGGCCAGCTCGGCTATCTGGTGGTGGATGAAGCTGAGCACCCCGTCGGCCAGCGGGAGAACATTCTCCGGAGTGAAAGCCTGGATGAAGTCAGCCAGCCTCTCCTCCATCTGCGCCGTGGCCTGAAGGTGGACAAAGGGAGCGTGGCATTAGTGGACAGAAGCAGGGTCAGGAAATGGATAGATTGGAAAGTGGAAGGCAGACGCAAAACCTCGAAAAACATCCTTTTTTTAGACGAGCTTTTGATGTCTGAAAGCTCCGACAGCAATTACAGATGCGATTCAGATAGTGCGGCAGGGATAATTTGAATTATTGTCAATATAGACGTTTTTTTTGCCATTTAGATTGAGTGAGACAAATCCCGAAAAGCTTTTTTTCAAGGATAAACTCCAGGCGCATTTTCCTACAGCGTGATTTTTATCAGGGTAAAAGCTTTCAGCTCATTTCCTTTTGATATTAAGCTCAGCTCAAAGGAGAGAAAAATTAGCCTTTGTTTGACTATTCAAACCTGAGATAGTGTTCATAAGGCGAGTTGATATATTCACTTTTCTCACACAGGATGAGAGTTCATGGCAGCATCACAGGGATTTTTTCTATTGTGGTTTATCATGCTCCATGCCTCTTCTTATCTCCCTTTTTTTATAGCTGATATAAAAATATAAATATGCACAAGTTTCTGAAGTTCATACATTTGACTATGATGGACAGTTTTTTAGCTCTGTGGAGTTAATCTTTAGCTAATTCTGCAGACCACAGTTTTATAATGGAGTAACTTTGTATGGGTATGGGTCTTACCTTTGGAAAGCGTTCTTTGTACACATGGTTCATCATGACTATCTCATTATCGTAGCAGGAGGAGGAGCGTCCTGGGCTGTAGGGACACATAAGCTTTAAATTTAAAATCAAATCAAACTTTAACAGAGCTAATGCAGCACTTTTGATTCAAAAGCAACACAAAGTGCTTAATTTTTTTTCACATAATCAAATAAATCATCGAAATTAAGAATAATTAAGAATCGAGAATAATGACCACGGGAAACTGCCCAGATCTGTTATGTGCTGAACTTGTCATATCAGGAATAGCTTTGCAGCTACACAGTGATCCTTTGTGACAATTAGGTAAAATGGACATTGCATTTCTACTCAATTGAGGAGGAAGACATAATAGCCGAACCTGTTCCAAATAGAAATAGAAGACGACTCTTTTTTTTTGCCAGCCTAAAGAAAGCAAAACTGGAAAAAAAAACTCCCAGCTGTGTCCAAAAAATGTGTAATATGGAATCGCCATAATTGGTCAGTGTCGTTGGTCAGTGCTAACTTGACCAGCAGCTGCAGCTTGTTAGATTCTGTCTTCCATGATTAGCTGGGAATGAGCGGAATTTAATTGGTTTGGCCTTGGGTTTGAGGTGTTAATGAAGGCAAAAAGTGAGGACACTGAGGCTTTTCTCTCGGCCTGGTCGGGGTAAAGTGTCTTAACTGCTTATCATTTTTAATTAAAAAGACCCTGATCAGAATAATCAGTGCTTATTAAAACATAAAAACACAGGAAGAAAAAAATAGTACATTTAGTAAAACGTATTCAGTTAGATGTTATTTTTTCCTAATGTTTGCTGCCCTGATACTAACAGCCAAAATAAGATTCTGTTTCGGGTAAATCAAATTGGTTGAAATTCATATATAAAAAGTTACAAAACTGAGCTTAAAAAGCGAATGCTGTGTGCAGACATTGACCCCACACAACTCCGCACATCTGCTTTGGACAGAGTCCTTTTGTCCTCCGATATTGCTGACCTGAGACTGCGGGAGCGCGGGCGCATGTGGGGGGAGCACCGGCCCCCGTCGTCGTCGGTGATGCTCTCCGTGCTGCCAAAGTGCTTGGACAGGAAGTGGAGCTCGTCCATGGTGGGCTGGGAGGGCAGCTGGTGCAGCCGCTCCTGAGACGAACTGGATGACTGGAGAGTTGGCAGATAAGGAAGAGAAACAAAAAAAAAAAATGTTGGCACGATTTGAGGAGTTTGAGGGATCAAAAACAGGAAATTAGGGGCGACAAAAGTTGTACACGGGCCCAGACGTCATGGTGACAGATGAAGAGATAAAATGTGGATTAAACTACTGTGAGCCATTAACTCGTGCATCAATCTGGCACACAAATTTGGCCTGGATGTCTTAACTGAAACGACTGATTGCATGCTTAATGCATTCACCTTTAAATGATAAAGCTCGGATAGAAGCTGGACACTCTTGTGTCGACTGTTTGATATATTGTGTAATGGTTTTGTGTCCAATTTCTTTTGCTATTTGCTAAGCTCCAATTTGAAAGTTGACATGTGGCATGGTTCCAAAAAAGAATGTTTCAAGAAACATCGGAGGATGTCCCTTAGGATCTGTGTATTGTGGGCAGATCCCATCTGATTTAATCAGTTCAATATCTCAAACGCTCATGAGGTTTTTGGGGTATTTGGGGTATTACTTCTTTAAAAATGTCTTTTTCACAACACAATATTGTGTTTTGTTACAGTCAAGTTTTAAAAACTCGGAGTTGTTGTAGGAATGGGTTGAGCTACATTGAGCATCCATGAATCAGTGCTGCGGTCATGTGTTTTGAATTTGATCACCTGCACATTACGCAGACGTTACTGTGACTCTAGCAGAGATTTATTCAGATCATCCAAAGCATGTGCCAATGATTACGAGTGGCTAAATCTAGCCTGAGGTTAAATTATCATGAAGCAGCGAGCACTCTGCCTCATACAACCTTCTCGTCAATGCGTGACATATCTCAGGATGTGTAAGGAAGGAGGTAATAATAAAGGAGGTGTAATATGTGGAAGTTGCTTTACATGAGGATGGTGGGGTTATTACCAAATTACAGCTGTGTTTGAGTTTAATTTAGTTTAATAAACACCACAACACCGGTTTATGTTCTACATGCTTTAGCAAGATTTTGTCAAACATATCTATAACAGTTCTTTACTGAAGAGCTGGTGTTCTACTGCCTTAGAATAAAGGCAGTGATGATGATCAGTCAGTTGGAGAGGATATCCACGTTATTATGTCAGTCTTACACTGGGATAAAGTAATACAAGGTGACACAAAAGCAATACACCGATTGTTTTTGTAGGTCTGCTATTTCGGTTTGTCTTGGTTTTGTCCTTCGTACAGTAAATGAATTGGATAGTGATTGAAACCAAGTCCTGACCATAATAAAAGCAGCATGGGTCTGCACAAATCAACCAAGTTGGAGAAAGTCTAATGACTGTGTTGGATGTTTTGGTATATTTGGAGGAGTTCTTTTTACCGTTGAGCTGGGCGTGTTGGTGCCATATCCAGAGGAGGGCAAAGATGCTAAAGACCATCGCCTCCCATCCGCTCTGCAGGGAAACACAAATGTCATTTATACTTAAAACCCAGTGCTCTGCATATCTACGGACATTTAAAATCCACGTGTCGTGTGTCGCTCGGCTTTCTGTTTGGGCTGAGACAGTAATGGATAAAGTGACTGCTGCTAGATGTGATGATAAATGCGACGCTAAGACGAGACCCGTAAAGTTCCATTTGGAGACTTCATGGACGCGTTCAGTTTCCAGGAGCAAACAAACAAAATGAACGGGCTGACAAATGACTTGTCACATATCTAGTAGGAGCTATGGAGAAGCACGCCCAGACGACGCTTCCGATGGGCCTCAGTCGCAAAGTGACAGGCGGGCAGACAGATTTGATAAATGGGGATGAAACATTTACAGAGGCAGCCTCCACTGCCGACACTACGTCTGACCGAGGATGGGCAGAGGTAACTAACTGTCTAATGGGTCTTCTACACACACATCTCTGTCCTCAGAATGCACGACATGGAAGTCCCCGCCCACCATTTTTATAAGTTCACACAATGGCCTGTGCCTCCTTCACGTTTCAATCACATTAGTCAACATTTCCGCCACGCGAAGGACAATCAATGAAATGAGAAATGCATCAAATCTGACGGAAAAACCCTGCTAACTCGTTCAATCTGCAATATCCAGCAGCGCGCCCTTTTATCATATTGCTACTGTCCCACTCAAACACTATTTTCATTCAGTATCCACCCAGGCCATGTAGGCACCCCCCCTTCCACTCACAAGTTTAATAAAGATGATGATTTCAGACTCAGTTTGACGAATAGATGAATACTATATGCTCATTCAATTATCAATATGAAAAACACTCTGATGATACATAAAAACACTTTTATTTGGGCTGGATTATAGAACTCTGTTATATAATGCCTTTCTTTTAAAAAAAACTAGGAAATAACAAGCTATTACTATTTTAAAAAACTATTTTCTCTTTGTGTGAAGCAATTCTAAATAGCCCTTTTTTCTTTTATAAAGCTTTAGTGCAGTGGGAAAAGTATGTGTACGTGAAAGCATTTAAACCAAATGCGATTGCATTAATCTTCTTATAGATTACATATAAAATAATCTTTGTACCGGATGCGGTAAAAATTTCTGACAGTGACTGCATGGATTTATTCCCTTTCAGGAAATAATATGTCAGTGAAGGCACCCGCTGGGGTTTGTGGATGCGGGCTGGCTAACAGCAAAAATGCTGGATTTATCTTAATACGGACAGGAATACGGTGAATGGAAGCAGTAAATTATTGAAACGTGAAAAAACATAAAGGTAAACATATCATATGAAACAAAAAAAGAATCCTTTGGTCTCTTTTTGTGCTTCACTTGTTTGGTTTTCATTAACTTTTTTGAAAGACACACTGCGCATCATATGTTTTTGGATAAAAACTGCTTGAATAGTTGTGTCTTGATGGTCGAAAGATAATGTTACATGTCAGTCAGGCTGTATAGTCTTGGGTATTTTTCATAGATGCAACAAAACAAAACAAAAAAAAACAAGTAATGTGTAATATATAGCCACAGTACTGGTTAACCCCATAAATGATTCGACTTTATGCTTGGTTAATTAACAGATCAATATCATCCATCAAGAAAAGACAAAAGAAAAATCCCTTTAAAATGATATGGCTGCCAAGATGCGGGGTCAGACAGGAGTCGCATTCTTTTTGAACGGGACTATGTGCAAGGGGTTGATCAAATGATCAAATGAAAATTTGAAAAAAAAGATGAAAACAAAGAAAATTTAAGCAGGTTTTTGTCTGCAATGATAAACCTATTGAGTCCTCTGACTGGGTGAGATGAACTCACCGGATGAAAAACTGATCTATCTTATATGATTTACAGTGCATGTATGATTTAATGTTGCAGACATCTAGAAGCTTTTTAACAGCCTGGAACAAAACACACACGAGCAGATGTACCCTTGTGTACACACTCCACCCTTACGCCTTCCTTCTCACACCTCTGGCACAAACAGGGGCTACCACAAAACAAGCACCCGCCATGTTTGAATATTGAGGATGGTGGAGGAGCACTGACCTTCTGGACGAGGCGAACGAGAAGTGCGCCGGGTTGCTCGGGGAGAAGTTCCGGGGGCTGTCCAGAGGGCTGCTTCCTGTTCGGAGCAACAGCACAAGCACGGAGGATTAGCAGAGAAAGTGTCACAGTAGTATGACACAGTAACAGGCCTGTAATAGGCACAGGCCTCCGTCCTATGACTCACCACTCTCACCGACCAGTGCAACAGTGAGTCATACTAAATGCATAAAGTTGTCTTGGCCATTGATTAAGATGTTTAAAATCGAATCAGAATGACTCATTGTTGATTTACTTTAGCTGAAAGTTCACATTTGTTCCCCTTTGACCGCACTCCATCAAACATGCAAGGTAAAGGAAGCACACCAAGGTGTAAAAATATATAAATCTTTAACCCTTTAAAGCCTGATCCAAGAATAAAACAAAACTGAAAATTATTACTCTTTGGTTTGAATGCCTTATTTGGCCTTTTAACAAAATATGTCAAAAGAAATAACAGAAATACATATTTAATACTAATTCATTTATTACTATGCGATAAGTCAAGATTATCTTTTGTGTAGTCTTTTGCCCCCTGTTATCAGGTGTATCTGATTGTGTACAATAGGATTTTGATTAAAGTTTATACCATTAAATTGTGCAAAAGGTGTCAGACGCAAAACATTTCAGAAACCGTACGTATCAAATATGATACGTTTGGCATTACAGGGTTAAGCTCTGGTTGCAAAAAAAAAGTTGAGTGAAAGCCAACCTCAGTGTAGCTGTGGTGTGGATCAACCACACGAATCTAAAAGAATCTAAAACAATCCAAACAGAGGTACTATAATCTCTCATTATACCAGAATTTTGTGGCTAACTGCCACAAAATTTCTACATTTGTCCATTTTCATCTTTTCTTTTGGCATCTGAAAGCACATTTATAAATATAGGGGAGTACAGTGATAGATAATGGTCACTGGGTTAAAAGAATAAGGTATCTGGGGTTTTGTCCTTATATCTCCTTGGTTTGATGTTTCATAAACACATATTTTCCCTTTGTAGGACTTTGTGTCTGTGCACTTAGCTAGTCATCACTGATCTACGAAGGTCACTCTGACACAACACAACAAGGAATTAGTCATCGTTTTTTTCCAGTTTTGGATGAGACCAGACTGCAACTATGTGTCCCGTATAATGCTGTAATGAGGTAAACGCATAACATTCTTATGCTTTATTCAATTAGCTCAAATAAAAGTACATATGAGTCAGGACTATACATTTGTGGCAGCTAAAAGACTTTCTGCAGATGTTCTGCTTCTAGGTTAAAGAAATCAATATACTTTTTCATCTTTGTCATTGTTTCTTTTAGTATTAAGACTGACATCACTATGAGGGTCGTATTTGCTTTCATCCCCACTATTAATATTACAAGCAACTGATTTAAAAGCTAAAGTGAAGCGCAAACTCTAATTTGCCGTTCAGTGCATTTTGACTTGAGTGCAAGCAGTAATTTCCTGGAGTTGCCGCCGGTTGCCTGGCAACCTGATGCAACAGCCAAAGTCATAATCCCTTGTAAAAACACAGCATGTCAATGTCACATTTGGATTTTTTGTATAGGTTAAACAAACATTACATAAAACCTTAATTGCAAAGACCAGGTTGGGATTTATTTTTCCACTGATGGAGACTGACCGTCTCTTTCTGTGCAGTTTAAGCTAATTTACAAATAACTCATACTGTAACTCCAACATTATAACACCAATGGAAAGAAATGTATCACAATTTTTTCTACTCGACATTTCGACTATAGTTATTGTACTGTATCGTATATTATTATACTATATCTAAGAGGCTGTAGATTATAAATCCAGCATGGCTGCTATTTTGAGAGGAAAACAGTGAACTAAAGTGGAATATAGTCATTTCTGTTTTCTATTTTACAGTCATTTGTGAACCAAAGAGAGCTTTATCTTGAAATCTAAACCTTAAGAGTTTAGACTAGGATAAGGTTGGATCTAAAGCAGGTCTGCTGTGCATACCGAGGTGTCCGGGGAGGGGCAGGGGGGAGTGCGGGCGGGGCAGCGTGGGAGACGTGGTGGTCAGGATCAGACTTTTCCGGTTGCTCGTGCGGCAACTGTGGAAAGAAACATGGAGAAACGATCATATTAGAGGAGGGCCACCTCCCAGGCGAGCCGCCTAGATAAGAAACGGAGGGCGAGGGGTCAAGCTGGAGAGAAAAGGGAATCAGGGAAAAAGAAAAAGGGCCGGGAGGATATAGCTGGGGAAGAGACAGATGGCGCGGAAACATTCCCTTTCATCGACCTAAAGAAAATAACGTCTGGGCGCCCACACTGTGTCACTCCCAATGTGCCCATCGATGCAAGACCTACTCACACCGAACGCGAAAAAGCCCCGGGTCCAGCTCCAACCGCCATTAGGTAGTAAAATGAGGACGCCTCTTGTTCAAGAGAAGCACTTATTTTGGTCAGAATGCCCCCGCAGCTGTGTCGTATCATCTGAAGGACTTTTTCCCCCACGACGGGATTTGCACTCCAAAGCGCGACGAGGGGGCTTTGGATTCATGCAAATAAATGCGAGCGAAAACAAAGAGGAGAGAAGAAGAAGAACGCAAGCGGCTTCACCTCGTCTGTGCAGCGAGATAAAGAGAAGAGCTGGCTTTCCTTTTGCTCTCCCTTTCAGCCCTCTTGCAAACGCCACATGCACACAATGAGATCTCTAGTGATGATGGCAGCGTAAAAGTCCTGGGATCTCTATCGTGAGATTTAACACAGGAAGATAGAGATGACACAGAGGTAGACGTTCCAAGAACAGAACCAGGCAGCACAATGATTAGGACCTTTGCTTTGTGTTCTATTTAAGTTAAGAGTTTGTCATAGTCTCTCTAAAATAATAGTTGCAATAAACAAGTCTTGAACATTCCCTCATTCCACTTTCTTTATCATACAGGCTACATAGACACAAATAGCTTGCAGCTCTGTATTTGGAATCAAACGGAGACTCCTCATAAAGTAACTGGATGTGATCAGAACTTAATGGACTGCTCACTCCACCAGAGGAGGACTAGCTAAATGATGCTGGTGCGCCAGGGAAAATACGAATTTACAGCTGCTGTAATTTCTTTACCGTGTCCCACTCTCAGTTGGAGATTCAGTTTTGACCGGTCACAATTTTCGACATTTGGTTTGCGTATCTCAGAAAGGATTTTTTACAAAAACCATGCCACCGGGATAGTATCACAGCACAATGACTCCCTACAATGACAATTTTGTTTGTAAAGATGACTTTACAAAGTCATAGTCATAGTCATAGTTGTTTAAAAAAAAAAAAAAAAGATTCAAATCTTTTCAGAACTTCATTCCACTACAAATTAAATTATTCCGACCGCGTCCTGATCATTCAGATCTTTAACTGGCTTTATCGGCATTGATTACACGCATCAATACAATAGATTTAGGGTGCAGGGCAGATAATTGCCATTGTGCAATTTTACACTCTAGCACCTCCATCCGATTTTCTTATAGGTGATAGTCACCTTTAAGCTGGACCCTTTTGCTAAAAAAGACGCACTCTGTCTGAGAGTGTACCAATACCAATCATCTTTTGTGATTGTTTTTTTTTTGTTTCAGTCAGCCTAGTTTCACACTTTCATTACTTCACTAATTGCTTTTTCAGAGTAAAAAAGGGAGAAAAAAAAACAAAAAACGAGAACGGGCAATATCGAGAGCCAGCAGCGGGACTATTCTTGTTTAATGGATTGTCTGTGCTGCAGGGAATCGATCGAGGGGCCGGCTATAAACACACAAAAAACCACAGCGCTTGGCCTTGAGATTCCTCCGCACAGCTGAGCACCATCAGTATTCAGGGCCGGGCTGGATGTTAAGTAATTATATATAGAGACACAGGGCAAAAAAAAGCAAAAGGGCAAATAAACAAACGGCAATACCCAGCAGAGAATATAGAAAACAAAAGGAGGATGCAGAAAGAAAGGCATCCCATCAGTGCTCATCCCCCCACATACGTGTTGCACGTGGCCTATTTTTTTTTAATATATGCATAGTGCATGGTAGAGCACGTGGTGGACTATAGCTGGCCGTGCGCATGAGCAGACGACACAGACGGGAATGGGGAGGCTCAAAGAAAAAGCCAGACAAGCAGGAGCCTTCGTCCACTGTACCCTCCCACTCATAACAGCAGGAGGACCATTAATATCGATCCCAAAATACCCATTTATGTGAGACCCGAAAAGAAACAGAGCCCGGGCTCAATGGAGGAGAGATTCAGATCAACGGAAAGTTAAAAGAAATTGAAAAAGGGATAAAAGAAGAGGAGGTTTTAATCCTGATTCACCTAATCAGCATTATGAGATAGACCCACCAATTAATAATAAAATCTGAACGACTGGAAAAAATATATGCGAAAACAAAAACATTTATTTTCTCCTGCTTCTTCACTTCATTGTATGAAATCCAATTTTTTTTTAAATTTATTCTTCTTTCCACTGCCAGTAAGTGTCCAAACCACTGCGGCAAATCTATTTTGCGAGGGGATTTTAGCCAACATCTCCAAGCCCTGGAGGGGACCGTGGCAGGAAAAGAGGGAGTCTGGGTCACATGATGGCTTGTTGCTACGCAGCGTGTGGCGGGTAGACCTCTGATAACGCCAACCAGGGGACCACAGAGGAGAAGTGGAGGAGGGAGAAAAAACTACTGCTCATTACAGAAGTCAGTCACGTTCCCCTTTTTTTTTTTGAGGGCGGAACGGGAAAACTGAGGACGAGACACGCCGAAGAGGGATGACTCGCATTAGATGATCTAATGGAGACGTAATCGGAAATGGCAACTACATCAGTGCCATTAGGGGGAAAGGAACCGGGAGCGGAGCGGGGGAGAGTTCCTCAGGCTCTTTAGAAAGCGGCGAGATGCACACGACACCCGAGCTATTCGGAAATTACAACCGAAAACAGATCAGGAAAAAAACAGAAAAGAAAAAAAAAAGTTATTTTAATCTTAAGACTAGAGATGGGCACAGTGGAGGGAGAAGCCTCACCATGAATATAAGCAAAAACAGGAAGATATAGAAATAAGCCAAACACTAATCATTGACTCATTGGAAGCTCTCATATGGGGACGTATACAATTTATAATTTTTTTAAACCCCCATTTGCTCTTTTTACATGAGTGCTGTTGTTGTTGTTTGCAAAAACTAGGAAAAATGATGTTACTAAATATATAAAATATCTTGGCTGGATGGTTTGTGTCTTTGTCTTTTTTTATTTTTCTAATACACGTTTCCGTCTGTGAATTTACACACACACACACATATATATATATGTATTCAGTATACATGTATCCTTCTATCAAAGGAATCTTGTGAAGTATAAGTGTTCTTTTTGGCTACTACCCTTAAACAACAGAAATAACAATGAAATTGCACAGAAGAGTCAGAAAACTAAACACTGTCAATGCCCAGTTCCTGAAAAGTGTCTTTAGCAAACCTTTCGAAAAGGTTACAGGTACAAACAACATGTCCAGTTCAGTTCCTGAAGGCGTTGAGCTGCAAAGCCGCTCGTCCGAACGGCATAACAGCAGAAAAAGAAGCAGAGAGTCTCACTGCTCCAGCACACAGTCCATCAGTCCTCACAACAGGGACTGACGTGCAGCACTAAGGCAAAGCTTTAGCCTCAATTAAATCCATCTCATCTTTTTAATGAATCACGCGCCGGCCAATAGTCGAGCGGACACCATGACTTAATCGTGTCCGTGTTCCCTCGGCTCTCTGATGTTCCAAATATCCTCAACCCTAACCCTAACCCCTCAAAAAACACTCATCGGGAATAAACGTTTCTATTCTTGTTGAATTCTCTTTTCTGTGTCTCTGTATGGAATTACAAAGCAGCTGAGATTGGAAATATCTAGCATGCACACGTCTAGGGCCATTCTGAAGTGTGTGTCCTTATAAGTGTTTTTCCTTCCTGTAATAGAAACCCCGACAGGGAGACAACAGAGGAGAGAAAGGGATCAAACACACACTCTTACAGGAGAGGAAAAGCAAAGGCCCTTTACTGGAAACAGGCACTAATGAAAGATGTGTCAGCCGAAGAGTAATCTTCTGAGTATTAGAGCCTGGACTCCTCTCGGGGCAAACACTTAACAAAACACGCTCTTTAATCTGACTCAGGTGAGGTCTAACTAAGAAGAGGGAGTTTATGATTAGATGTGGCGGACATAGCTGTGTTTGTATGAAAAATGTGTTAGAGGCAGGCACAAAATTAAAGTTGATTATGTTACTGAGGGTTTTTGCTGTTTGCCAAAAGAGTGAGCCACACCTGTGCCACAGCCCCACGGGGACACGTGCACACTCGCTCACATTTTTGCCCGTGAGCACTCAATCGATGCGATACATCCCCTCACCACGTATATAATTAAACCTAACCAGCACAAAACTCAAAATCTGATTCTAATTTTCTAAATCTCACTAAAAAAAGACTTTACCATTAGGGGCCCCAATTCTGCTCTCATATTTGTAGGAAATGCAGATAAATTAGTACACGGCACCCATCCACACACACATGAAACCCTTCTTTTCTTCTTTTTTAATCTCTTTTTTTAAACACGAGGCCCTCATCTTCATTATAAACAGACCATGCTTTAACCCGGACTTCCATTCACACTTTAGTGCTAACCGCAACCAATATTTTTCTTCATTAAGGTAACGGACCCCATGACAACCATTCGTCCCTATAAGGTAAATTGTGACACCAAAAAGGTCCCAACAAGGCAACAACAATTACTAAAACAGACCTGCAACTTTTAATGGAAATTCAGTCTTGACTTTTTGCTATCTGAATGAATATAAACAAGAGGCTATGATGGAAAATTCCAACGAAAAACTGTCAGACTTTCAACTCCTCAGTGAAAATTGTTGGGTTAAAGAAATTAAACATGTTTTACATTTTAAAAGGAATCTTGGACCTCTAAAATCTTAACATAAATTGTAGTGTGATAGGAAAACAACAGCAAATGAAAGAAAATCAGAAGTACCTCATGCTCCAATGAGAAAGTCGATTTCCCAAGATAACCATGCAAATGCAACAATTTGATAATGATAAGGAACTATTCTCTGGTACTACCCTTTAGAATAACCACACCAGCCACATGTCTAACTCCTAACCCTACCCTTAAGCCTACATCATAACATCTGCCAAGACTTAACCCTGAAATACACGTGAGCGTAGAGAACGAGTCAAAATGTCCTTTCTTTACAAAATGCACTCACTCTGAGGGCCTACAGCTAAAACTAAAGTGAGTAATGGACAAAAGAAGCACGGAATAAGTCGGAGAGAGTAGGGTAAGGCCGGTAAATGTGTCCTGCATCCTCGTGTAACCTTAGTGAGCTGGTCCCTAATGGAAGAGCAGACACAGATATCACCCCAAGGCCCTCCACTCTTCTCACTCCACCTCTTGCGTAGCCTCCTACTGTGTGGATCTCCTTTGCTAATTCTTGTGGTGTTAAACAAGACTGACTTGGCTTCTCCATCTTAGAGACGTAATAACACAGAAATGTATCATTTTCTGCAAAAATAAGTATATATTTGAAAGCCTGTCGCTTTAACAGCACTTAATAATCAAGCAATTTAGCATTTAAAGCACTTTGTCTTGGATTTTTAACCACCATTGTCGGGTATTGTGACTAAGTATTACGTTTGAATGAGCGAACTATTATTGCTTCCATCTGTTTGAGCGTGTGTCTGGGCTCAGGTGGGCCCTAGCCCGAGTTGGCTCTGTAATGGAGGCCCTGATCAGCAGGGGAGAGGGAAGCCGCTCTGAGAGACTCAGCGTGACATCCACGCGTGCAAGTGCAGCAGAAGAAAGCCCCGGCGCTTTAATGTCAGCTCAAATTTTCGGGTGTGCAGAAATTAGAGTGGTTAACCTTCCTCTAGTGTTAAGCCCTCGTGTTCCTCTGGTGTTAAACCTAAAGAAACGAGTCGTGGCAATAGTAACAAAAGAGGAAGGTTAGAAGTACCAATTGCAGACACAACAGGAAAAATTATATACTAATGGAAGAAAAATCTTTCTTTTTTTTGGTGTGTAACAATTTTTCTATGTCTTTCCAATCAGGGCAAATAAAAGTAAGATTGACCATCTTACCAAATAAAACTTCCAACCCTATCATCTACTCCATAAAAGCCTCCCTCAACGTCAAATAATTAAATCAATCTTGAACGTGGGGCTCTGTCTGACCCGTAGCACTGCAAGAAATGTCAGTATGACAAGTCACCGATGGAGCCTTTCAATTATTTACTCCAATTATCCAAACACAAAGCCACAACCAGCAAGCAGCATGCCTTGTGGCTTTGGCGACACAATAACACTTTTAAAGCAAAAATTTCATTTTTTGTTTATCTTTTAATTGTCTATGTACTTTTTTTTACAGAGGATTTAGTCTTAAACATGGTCTAGAGTCAAGTTAAAGGCCTTTCTAAACACAATATATAGGGGACTGAGGAAGTTGACATGCTAAATAGGTAAATCCAATTTTAAAGTGTACATAAAGTGTAGTGTGATCTGTCAATTGAAATTTCACTTCAAATTTGACTTGATTTGTAATTTTAACGTCAACACAGACCGTACATCCCTCCTAGCTTTGTTATTTACTCTTACTGCTGCTGTGGAAATTATATTTATAACAACTAAAGCTAACCTATGACGAAATAACACAAGTTTAACCTGCTTAAAAGGTAGTTTTGAAGTTTGAATCACATAAACAACAAAAGCGTTATCAAGAGTTATTATGACAATAATTAGCTATCATGTGAATAGTGGAACTTGTGAATTGCTATAATATGGTATCCGATGTCATAGTATTTGGGGTACAATTATTAAAAAGATACATAAAAAGCAAACTGTCACAAATCTAAGAAATGATCAACAGAACTAAAATGGAAACTGTAAAAAGAAGTGGAAACTTCACTGGTAATGATGCTTAAACGGTTCGAATAAGAACACATCAGAGGACTTCCTCACCTGATGAAAAAGAGTACCTGTACAGAATTTTACATTTACTGGTTCATCCAGTCAGTAGCTGCAGCCAAAATGTGCCATGGATGGATCAGACACACATCCTCCATATATATCACTTCCCCTATTTCTAAAAATGTAATTCACTAGCTTATCTCCTAAACGGCATTCTATGAAAGTGTTAATTACAAATGGAAAAGGATGTGTTTTATCATTTGACCTGTTGGCCCTATTCTATTAACTTAGATACCACCAGACTTTCAATATGATAATAACAGGAAATAGAATTATATATGGAAGAGAAAGCACGAATCTGAAGCTATCGCAGATACAAAGACACACGTGATTCTCACCTTAAACATGAATAACTCTAAGCTTCTTTATAATGCATGTAGCACATATCAACTAACACAAACAAACAAAAAAATAACTAAAATGATAGAGAAATGAGCAGATGTAGGGTGGGGAGAAAGGCTATTAAAAACCAGTTTCCACACCACAGAAACTCAATCAGAGCTACTCTACTTGGAGCTTCTTGGTGTACCTTTTCGTGCGTCGGAACATGTTGTTGGGTGGATATCTTTTGCGGGTGTAGCTCTGGCAACAGCAGCCTCAGCAGCAGCGATAGCTGGACGTTGAGGAAAAGCAGGTTCCCCCGGCAGAACCGAATCGCGATTCAACAAATTCTGTACGTCTACAACCTTTGGAGTCTGCCTCTCTGAGTGAGTGCGTCCGAGCAGCCAGAGGTGAGGGAGAGAATAAGAGGAGGAGAGAAAGATAGCGCACCACGGAGGGAGGGAGGGATGGGGGGGGGGTGGAGGAAGGGTGGGTCTATTAACAAGAAACAACAAAACGTGGCAGGGGATGGTCGGACATTTTTCTCAAGGCTAAGATGTCAAGCAAAGTGTATTTTTGTGACGTGCTTCTTGTTTTGTGTTTCCCCTCCCTTAGTTAAAAAGCCTCCACCTCCAGCTATTTGCACCATGAATGAGGCAGACAGTAAAAGGGAGGTTAATCTATCCCACCAGAGAGGGACTAAATGAAAGCTCATGCGGATTGTCACATTAATAGAATCAAAGATTAAGAAGGCATAGCTAACGATGACGAAACGCCACACACGCGAACGGAAAACTGAATGACTGTGTGTTTACCCATGAATGGATACAGCCAAGCCAGACTGAATTTGAAGCCAGCTCCACTGAGCTCATCCATAATGGATGCTGGTCTGATAGCGTACTGGGGAGGGAGGCGGCGACACACTGAATCCAAACGGAAACTGTCTCAGGAGACACGAGGGTGTGATGATAAAATGATGAGGTTGTGGTAGTAGGTCATACAAAGCGGGGAAATGAATTTGAAAGACAGCCTGGATGTAGTAAGAGTTCGGCCATGGGCTCGCCGCAGGTTTAATTACACACTGTGTGACGACTCGGGGGTGAGGTGGAAGAAGAAGTCACTGGAGACCGGTTTGAAACAATCGCTCTCATAAATTCACACACTGATTTACATGTATTTAGCGGGTCAGAGCAACTTTAATGTCCCAGGTTTTCAACTGATTTTTTATCATCACAGTTGTGTCACGTTAAATACACTCCCACTGACACATATTTCTCTTAAAGGAATAGTTGGTAACTGTTCTATTTCTTATGACAAAAATAGAAAAAGGTTTGGGTGGCTTAGCTAAGTCCAAAGACTGGAAATGGGTCGAACTGTCAGGCTCACATTTTACTGTATGTCTTACTTTAATCTAAGGGATCAATAAAGTTCAGTCTAAGTCTAAGTCTAAGTCTATATGAACTTAAGCCCTTTTCACCTAAAGGGAGACCTAACTGAATCTGATCAAAAGCCTAACTTGAATTAGCTTCGTAAATAGAAACATGAACCAAAGACTTTTGAAAATGCTTGAAACAACGTGTATGCCAGTCCTAGTCTTAAAAGGATAAACACCTTGTGACCTAATTCATGACCAAAAAAAACATCTGTAAAATGCTAAATTACAACTCTTTTTCTACATTAGTTTGTGTAAGCAAGTTTTGAGTCAGTTTTGAGTCAGCGACATACATCTCCACACTAGCCTTAGCTGCAAATAACCAGCATTCATTTAAATATAAAATGCTCATAAGGAATGAGGGGATGGCAGAAAACACAGCTATCATTTTGGTCAAAGTCTGACGTATACTTCTTCCCCCTATAGAAAGGCACGGCTTTTCTATAGGGTATATGCTATAGAAAATTCTATAGAAAAGCACAGCTTTTCTATAGCATTCTTAAAAATTAGTCGTTTGAACTAGAATTAACATTAAAGCAGTTACATCTACATGATGACACGTGCTACCATACCGTAGGACACAGCAGCAGAAGCTAAAAGCAATCTACATGCAGAAAAATCTATCCTCTTTGGGTTTCCAACAGACTGTTTATTCCACAGCTCGTTTCTTTGAATTGATGGATTACTCCTGTGTTCAGCAATTTCACATAGTTACAAGTGGATGAGATTATTAATGACTTCTTCTCTAATCTTCTTCTTCTTCTCTAATTTCTGATTATACAATCCAGAAAGACCAATAAAATCTTTACTGTTAATAATAAAACCTTTTTATTTATTTCTTGATAAAGCTACAATCTTGAGAAAAGGGGTTGCGGAAAATGGTGCAACTAGGTGAGCAACGTTTTCCAGTAAACCCTGGAGTACAAGTAAAATGCAAGGGCTGTGGAGACGTACTTGAATGCTGCTTACTGGCAAATTTGAGTCGTGTTTGTACACAAATATTTATCAACCAGAGTGTGATGGGGAAGAGAGAAAGAGCAGCAGGAGGGGATTAAGGAAAGAGGGCCATAAAGCTGTGGACGGTGGAAAGGCTGAGAGGCGGAAACGAGATCTGACATATTTCCCAAACTGGCAAAGGGAAAAGAGGAGTGGGAATAGAGACGGGGAAACGGGAAGAAGCGGGATTGCTTTCAGCACCATGGACAGCATCCACTGCTCTTGGCTGACCAACATCGGAGTCTAATACACTCCAGCTACACTCCAGGAGGCCTCCTCCTCCTCCTCTTCCTTCTCCTTCTCCCTCTTCAACACACTCCACACAACAAGCCCCGGGAAAGCGTCCTCACAGCTTTCAAAGAAAATCTGAGAATCATGCTGATGATCCGAGGTAGCCTGCCAGTTTGATATGCGCAGGAGGACAGACCCTGTTGATGCACAGCAGCTCAATTAGAGTCTTTGTCTTCCCAGAGAGGCAAAAGCTCCCCCCCGAGAGGAGAGAAAAGACAGGTGGCAGGACGCAGAGAGGCGGGGGGTAGAAAACTGAGGGGATGGATGAAGGTAACACTTACCTGCTGTTTTTGCGAGGCAGCGGCAGGTCCTGCTGGCAGAAACACACACAGAAAAAGAATGGAAAAAGATCAGGGACCAAAAACACAAATATTGTCTTTACAAGATGAACAGTGTACAGTTATGCTAAGGCAATTTTTAGAGCATCTCCCAAAACATTTTTTTCCACTTGCGGCAGGGTGTTGCTTTTTGTTTATCTTTTTTGCCTTTGAGCTTTTATTGTACATATGACATTCACAATGTTTTCTTAAAATGTTCCTTTTAAACAATTTTGACCATTTCTACAACTATACGTATATATATACATATATATGTATGGGTAGAGTGGCCAATCCACAGAAACGGTGCTCCTGTCAGTAACAGAATCCTTGAAAGAAGCCAAAGCTTTCATCCTGCTGGACCTATCACCAGCATATTGATACTGTTAACCACGGCATCCTACTAAAAAAGCTGGCAGACGTGGTCATCGAGGACATTGCACCTCTTAGTTTGAATCCTCCCTAACTGGATGATCCTTCACGGTGTCATGGCCAAACATCGAAGCGACACTACCTCACCACAGGGGTGCCCCAAGGCTCAGTGCTGGGTCCCCTCCTCTTTATGAGATACACCACTATTTTGGGCCCGATCATCTGGTCAAACGGCTTCTCCTATCACTGCTATGGAAGCGACACCCAGGTCTATCTAACCTTTCCTCCAGACGACCCCCCAGTACCAACGTGAATCTCAGACTGGCTTTCAGACATATCTGCGTGGATGAAAGATCACCACCTCCAACTGAATGTCTCCAAAATGGAACTGCTTCTCATCCCAGCCAAGCAAACTATTCAACACATTATTAGCATCGGGTTGGGTCACTATCTCTGGCACCCACCGAGACTGTAAGAAACCTCTGCGTCATGATTGATTATCAGCTGACCTTCGCGGATCATGTTGCCTCTGTTGATCAATGGTGCCGCCTCTCTGTGTTCAACATCAGGAAGATTAGGCCGTATCTAACCCAACATGGGACACAGCTCCTAGCAAAGGCCTTAGTGGTCGACTACTGCAGTGCCCTCCTAACAGGCCTTCCAGCCTGCGCTGTGAGACCGCTACAGAATGCTGTGGCCTGTTTGGTTTTTGACCAGCCAAAGAGAGCAAACGTCACACCCCTGTTCACCGAACTCCTTTAACTTCCCTTAGCTGCTCGCATCAAATTCAAATGACTGATGCTGGCATACATAATCTTTGATGGATCTGAACCCATCTACCTCGACACCCTCTTAAAGCCCTATATCACCGCTCGCCCACTCCGTTCCTCCAAGGAGCGCCAGCTAACACGGCATACACCCCCGTACAGGTCAATCTAGACTCTTCTCATCCGTAGTTCCACGCTGGTGGATCGACTTTACAAGCACTATCAGACCTTCAGATTCTTTCCTCCTTCAAGAGCCCCAGCTCTTACGAGAGTATCTCTTGTCCTGAGAGCTCTAAATGCACTTATTTCCTAATAGCATATAGCACTCAATGTATTGTACCTGTGTAATCTATGTCATAGTTGAATGTTAAATCCTTAATGTTAAATCCTCTACTAGCATACTTCACTCAAGGCAAGGTAAAAGCGAAACTGGTGTTGTAGTCGAATGTTAAACCCTCTTATTGTAAGTCGCTTTGGATAAAAGCGTCTGCTAAATGTACAAATTAGAATGTAGCTCAAATAACACCACCCATAAGGGCGTGCTCTAATTAACCACCCATACAGACAGCTAGGGGTGGGGAGCAATACAATACAACTCTTGTCTGTTTGCACATTGGAGCAGATGTCACTCTCTAGTGTTTCATGTAACAAGGCATAGAGTCTTCTTAAGGTGGAAGGAGGGGGATAAACAGTGCAGTCAAGAATTTCAGCTATTGATTAGAGATGACTTTGACACCAAGACACCGCAACCTTTTGTTTTTTTAAACTCGACAGTCAAAAAACTCCTTCCTTAATGTTTTTTTGTCACTTCCTGGTCGGGCTTATGTGTTGAAGCATAATTTGATTAAGGCTTAGAAGGAAAAAAAATAATGCAGGTTGTACTTGTACTTAACAGGTTCATTGATTTTCTTCTAAGCTCTCTTTCACTGCAGCATCAAGAATATCCATCCACCCATTTTCCATTGGTGCATGAGAGGGCTACCGCAGAGACTATCTGGACAAAGGACCATGCATACCAGCCCAGAGAAGATAAGCTAAGTAAACAAACCCTTTCCACATTTCGTTGGTGCGATGGATAGAACCGCTGCTTCTCAGCAAGAGGATTTCTGGTTTAAATCCTGGTTGGACGGCTTTCTGTGTGTGCATGGATTCTCTCTCCGATAACTCTGGCTTACTCCCCCAGTCCAACCACATTCCTGTAAAATAAAATAATAGGAGGCTCGTTCATCTGTTTGTGGTCTGTGTTGACCTGTCCAGGTTTTACCCCGCCTCTCACCAAATAACCACCCTACCCCCTTTTCGTGACCCTTTGGGAATAAGCAGTATGGAAAATGGATTGATGGGTGGAAAACAGTCACTTTACTGGACCTCTGGCTGTTAAAAAAAGTCATTAAGTGACCTTTGACACTGTATGGCAATAAATGTCCTATACGTTTCCATATTAGATATGTATACTCCCTTTTAGTTTAGTCTTGTAATTTAGAAAAGATCAGTACTATGGTGACCGCGAATTTTCTCACACTATCTGCTGTTTTGCATTAAGTGATTTAAAAAAAAAAACAACAAATAAAAGAGAACTTTTAAGATGATTACCATGAGCAAAAATGAAAGTTCGGTCCAGTAATGAAATTTGATCTGTTGTGAGTGCAGGGGACCTGCAAAGTCAGGTCTCATGAGGGGTGTGGGCAGCGAAGGCTGCAGCTGAACCATAATCAACTAATCGAGGAGAACAAGTCTGACAACTTGTCCTCATTCATTTCAGCAGAAATGCCCCACCAGTGCCGCGTCGGGGGCGTTTACGTCCACTAGCGGATTGTTTGCTGGACTCTTACTTTGTTTTCAATTCATTTGGCCTGTTTCTCTGTGACTCTGCTCAGACCCTCCCTGTATCTGCGGGATCCAGATGGATTGGGGAGTGCTGGGCCCCCGAACGGCAGCCTACGCAGGCTGAAAAACAAGCCGGAGCGTTGCCAGGGCCCCCGTGCGAGTACAGCCTGGCTCTTTTTGCTAACCCTGCACACTTAGATGGAGAGGGAGCGCAGGCGGTGTAAACAAGGGCGGAGCAAAGTGTGCCAAATGGGTGCTTTGGGGGCTGCGGTCTCATCCTTGAGCCTGAGTGTTCTGGCCTTTAGCTGCATGCATACATGTGTGTGTGTGTGGCCATGTGTGCTGTTTGTGTGTCTGGTGTGAGCCTTGGCTCTTAGTAACAGTTGTAAATGCACCAGTTGTTTTGTACCCCTGTCATAATAGTGTTGTTAATGTGCTGTTAGTAACCTTCTTGTCACCTGCTAACCACAATCAATGCAATTACTAGTTTAACATGGGCATGTTAAACATGGAGGGAAACAGAGCGTCAGACTGAGCATGTGTGGACAGGCTGCAACACACAGAATCTATAAACCGGCAGCCCAAAAGCTCTTCAATATGAAAAAAAGCCTAAAAAAAGCTGTGTACGTGTTTGTTTTTTTATGCAATCCGTCAGTTTTCTCAAGGTTAAGTCTACAGCACACGGCAGAGTTTGATCGAACAGAGCAGAAAACTCTCACTCGACAAGAAAGACATAAAACAAAACCCTTTGACTACACCTCGGGATGATAAGCGAGCCATGGAGCACAAAGCACAGATGCCGGACTGGATGTCCCCCGGGGGTTTACGTGTTAACCGAGACAAATCCCTCTTTACAGGGAGGGACTGAATATTCACCCCACTGATCTCTCCCCACTTTGTCCTTCATTGATCCGGCTAATTGGCCCTGAATCAACTGAGTCAAGGTGAAGATGAGGGGCAAGGGGGGGGGGGGGGGGGTGGCAGAAACGCACAAGGTCTCGCTCTAGACCTACTGGGGTCCAGGAGAGCAGCACCTTTTCCCTGTAGATGTCAGTGTCTGATTGGCTTCAATGAATGAAGTGATCCCCAAACATGAGGCCAAAAAAATGAGAAAATACTACATTCTTTCAATGGAGTCTTAAAGGCTCTTCTAACATCCAAAAGTATCAAAGTCTCTGTTCTGGTGTTGTGACATCACTATATAGCCAGAGAATGTGGGTTCCTCAGGGAAAGAAAAGCCAGCTTGATGCTCTGGACAGGTCCCCCCCCATCTCATTTATCACTGTGCACCCGCTCGGCTCCTACTTTCAACCCATCTATTTGCGTCCAGCCTCTTCCCACCAGGGATGTGCACAGAAAAGCATTAAGGACAGACACTAGGGGAGAGAAAGCGAGACTGTACTTCAAACTTAGACTCTCCTCAATCCTCTCCGTTCTCTGTGTTCTTCAGAACTTGAAATATTTTGCTCCGGATTATTTCCAGAGTGCAAGTAAAAGACAAAAGCAGGACAGACGCGGCAAAGTGGTGGAAACTGAATAAATGAGACGAGTCGTGGGGACAACACAAGATCAGCCGGAGCAGCTGCCAGCTCAGATCAGAGGTGTCCAGATTTCAACAAAACAAAGACAGAGGGATTTGGATTTCTAGAGGCGGGATGCTACCATTCCACACTGTGGCTTTACCTGCAAAAACCCAGCAGATGCAGCAGGAAGTAGGTTTTAATGACAACAAAATCACTCAATTCGATATCTTCCAATCGTTCGGTTTGTTATTTAGCCATCCCAGTGACAGCCCGATTCCCCCAAAAGGATCAGGTAACGTTGGTAAAGGGGAGCTAGAGGAGAACCAGGTCATCCGCTGATTACGCTTTCCCGTATGGACAGCCAGCTCCACATAATACCGTCCTCAGGCGAAACATTCAACCCCTCGTGCTATTCCCGGCCGTGGGACCAGCGTTTGCAAAGCAGAGATAAGCAGCACGTTCTCCGACAAGATAAACAGGCGCCGGCATATGTTTAGCATTTCTGCACGGCCCCAAATAAACAAAACAAAACAAAGCCATATGGACAATAATTTGTCATAGTCTCTACACATGTAGCAATGGCTCTGTAAAACGTTTTGGTATTTAGACTTATATAAAAAAGGAATAAAAAACCACTGGGCTGCTTCAGGAATGAGGGGAGAAAATCTGATCTGTTTTGTATCTTATGTTTCTGCAATAACGTACTAAAATTCAAAGATTGTAAACTGTATGTATTAAAGTATCTAATCCATCTTCCATTTGTTAGCGCTAGCTTGTACAGATAATCAAAGAATCAGATGGAACACTAAACAAAGGGCAGCCATGATGCCTTTACCTTCCATCCTCGTTTGATATCTCGCCCTGCTTTGAGCTGGACTTCAAACTAATGAATTCGCCAGGCTGTAGATTATGTGCCTAGGATAGGAATCTTTGTAACAGAATCCTAAAACAACAAGGCTTGTATTAACTTACCAAAACTACACTAAAGCAGTCCACCGTTTTTTTTTTCTTACTCCAATATAGACCAAATCATCCGTGGTCAGAGGTGTCTGAAATCCGTTCGCACAAAGTAAAGATGAACAGGCGACACACACCATTAATGAAGAAATTCCTTTTCCACACCTGGGTCCGAACACATATCCCAACGTTTGTGTCTTATCCTGATTCCCCTGTGGCTCAATTAGCTTGTTGGGATATCGTGCTTATGGCTCATCGGATGGATGCACTTCCCACACCACTGCGTGTCTTAAGCTAGCTCTGAAATCAATCAAGAAAGGCAGTCTGTGGAATCCAGTCATTCTCACGGTGATAAAAAGGCAACTGATAACAGACGGAATTCTCTGTCACATGTATAGAGTGCCCAGATTAGCAAACCACACAATTCCTCGCCATGTCTGGCCCACTTGTCTTTCTTGAGAGGCTGCTCTTTTTTCTTTTTTTATCCAGGTCTGTCTTTTGTCCTCGGGGGGTTTGAAAAGCAGAGGTTTGAGCTTTTTAAATGATCGTCTGATCCCCGGAGCGTTTGTGGCTGCATTCCAGCGTTTGGTGAAAAAAGCAAAAGGTGGGCAGAGCAAACATCCGCTCGAGTGTTCCGACTGGAAGGTGATTGTGCCACCGTCTTGTCATGTCTGTGATGTTTGCAGACATTATTTCTGCCTCCAGAATACAGATTAGTGTTTTGGCGTATCCAACAAGCAGACTGCCCGAGTCTGTTGAAACATGTTTGACAAATAACATGATAAATAACCTTCTTTTTTCTTTTTTTTTTGCTTCATCGTGCACTTCCTGTGCTTCAGTCGACCTGGTTTAAATCTTGTTTTAGCCTATTGTCGCCCTCGCTGCGTTACTTGTTGATTGAGTCAACTTTTAAGCACGAATGTGTGCAAGGATGAGCTTTTTAAACCTTAAATTCTTCATATAATTGTCTGGTATGTTGCTATGCTGCTAACCGGGGGGAAACCAGTCAGGGAAAAAAACATTATGATGCAGACAAGTAACCCAACTTAAGGCCGGATAAATCTCTCTCCTGGTACGGTCATAAGTCATGCCCATAAAAGCCCCCTCGGTGTTGTGTCCTTGAGGACGTACCGCGTCGAAGGGGTAATAAAAAAAGAAGAAGACGAAGAGCGGGGGGGCGGAGGGTAGGGGGCGAAGAAATAACTGCAATAAGGAAATGGCGTTAGCTGAAATGCATGAATATAAAGTGCAGGATTCACCGACCAACCCGTTTTCACTTTGAGGGGGGGGGAGAAACGGTGGGGAGGCAGTCAGGAGAGAAAAAAAAACAGCAAAGGATCAATCAAGGAGTGTTGGGGTGCCAAGAGAGAATGATATCAGCAATCACTTAGAGTGGAGGCCGACTAACTAGCACGGGGAGAAAAAAAAATATACAGAAAAAGCAAATGCATTTCCGTCTTAAAATCCCAGAGACGAAAGAAAATGTCATCGAAACCTTGAAAGGTGGTGCATTTAGGGACTGTGGGGTCAATCCGTTGCACTGATTAAGTGATTATCAGCAGATTTCTTGTCAGTTTGCTGGTCTGCAGCGTTTAGGTGCGCCAATGCAGTGACGAAAGATCTCAGAGGAGCAATTGTTGCTGCTTTTTGTCATTTCACAGCGGCGGGGGATGATTAGCAAGTGGAGAGCGTTCGAGATGTTTGGAAATCTTCCCCCACGTGGACGTCTAGGAGAGTTCAAGCTAAGGTCAGACCGGGCAACGCGGAAGGAAATTGAAGAAAAAAAGGGGAAAAAAAGAGCGGCATCTAAGACACGAGGATGAAAGTGGGTCAAGCCGTGGGACAACACAGCGGGAAATCTGAAGGAGAATGGGCGTAAAAAAAAAAAGAAGGAGGTGTTGGAGAAGCCCTGTCAAAATCCAGGCCTCAAACTCATTGGGCACTCATAAGAACTGTGCATTGTACAGAAAAAGTGACGTGATTTACAGTCATAAAGAACTTTTGTTTTGAATATTGTAGAATTACTTTGGCTTTTGGAGTCTTGTAACTCCAAATTGGATAAGCAATATGCATCAACATTGATTGTCACTTCTATTTTACTCAGCACTTTAACCTGTAAACCTGTAAATTCAAAGAAGGTACGTAATGGAATTGACCTTTTTTGGTGTATTTTTTTCTCTGAATGACAATTTCCCTAGTGTCTGAGAATTTCCTCTCTTTATTCTTGTTAGACTGAAGCTCGCTGGTGTGGACTGGCAATTAAAAGATGACCCCTCCTCTCTTTTTGGAACTGTTATCTGTGGGCTTTAAACTCTAACAAACACAGCCTCAAAAAAAATTGTTTTGCTGAAACTAAATATCTATACAAAGCCAGATATTCACGGAACACTGAACTATATATGGGCCAGATTGTGAGTTCATGTAAGCTGACAGACTGCTGAAAAAGAGAGCATAAGATAGCAAAAAAAGGTCAGCGCTTCCATGTTAAACCACAGAGATTTAGCTTTTTTGAGGGAAGAATGAGCAGCTCGGTATGCAGGGGTTTATTTTCTGTGCACATAGGGCAAAGATTTTGGGCTAAACAACAGGCTAGAGGTACTTTATATTGGCACAGCACCTGGCATATGTCCGCATCATCATACAGACGCCACTTTTTTTCAATATATTGCAGAATTGAGACTATTTCCACAGAACGTGAAACAAAAGTGAGTCAAATAGAAGCCTCAGAGTCACAGACAGCAACACTGAGATCAAGTTCCTTTCGTGTAAGTTATTTCAGAGCAACGCATCAGGGGTGTGACCCCTGACCCCCAGAGGAGGGGGGGAGGAGGGGAGAGGGGTTTGCCACCATATGGTGCTGAGAGAATGGCTGATCGCCTGTGTGTGTGTCTGTGTGTGTGTGTGTTTGTGTGTGTGTGTGTGTGTGTGTGTGTGCAGGAGAGCGCGAGTGGCGGTTGGGACGAGGAGACCCGGGGGACCCAATCGCTCGTCAACACGCCGTCTCACAGACACACACACACACACACAGCCATAAAGATAACGTATAGGCATCAAATTTGTCCAGATAAGCTAGAAGCACACATCTCCTATAACTATAACCCCATTTTTCTAACACACACGCACACACACGTACGCGTTCAATCATTCGGGCCGGCCTGCCCACACCTATATAAAATCCCAGTGACTTTGTAGGCCTGACTCTGATGATTAATTCCCTCATAGCTGCTGTCGTAGATCACAGGAAGCAGCGCTGGGGATGAGGAGGCAGGAAATCATCAGCACACCTCCCTATAATATCCCTCTTCCCTCTTTTCCCTCTTTCGGGGGGTCAGTTTCCCCCCACAAGCAGCTCAGGGGTGCAACTTCAGGATGCCTGCCCACAGTAAATGAAAGGGCTGAAACACTGACTGAGCGACTGGCCGGGAGAGATGAAACGAAATGGACACAAACACACACACAGAGATTCGCAAGTGCAGGAGGCTGCTCATCTCCCGCTCAGTTCACTCCACTGCACCGCACAGTGATGGGAGGGGGGGAGGTGGGGAGTGGTGGGGGGTGGAGGGGGTATGACCCGTGGTTAAGCAGGCTGCTTCATAATGGATGAACACAGTCATCCCAACGCGTCAGATCGCCGTGCACGAGTGGCCATTCATTACCGGCCTTTTCTTAAAGAAGCGGTACGGTGTGTTGGATATAATATAACTGGGAGAGGCCGGATTGTTGGAGGTGATGATTATGTGTCTTTAACGTGGCCACTTGGTAGCGGAATGAGAGCCCGTGGAAATATGAGGGAGAATTATATGATAAATCGGTCACATCTTATTAGTAGACAGCCAAAAGATTAACATAGACACAAGAATTGTTTTGGCCGATGTCTTCTGATTGTACTGTCAAAGAGTCTAAATTTGTTTTAAACACTTTTTTTTTTAAAGTCCTTAGTGTTGAGAACCTTTTAATGTTAAGAGTTAATCTTTTTTAAAAGCATATTTCATGCTAATTAACAAAAAAAGACAAAAACAATCTTTCTCTCAATTTTTTTGCATTAGAATTTGGCAAAAAAAAAGATCTTTAAGATTAGAATCTAGCATCTCAGCATCCCAATTATAGACTATTTCCTGGAGTCTGAACAAAAGCACCGTTGGGGTTGATACAATAGCTTTCCAGACAAATTCATATGAATTAAGAAATTCTATGTTTACAGACCTCACTCTCTATCTATGTGGGTTTTAGTTGGACGAAAATGTATCGCTCATGAGTTGTAAGCATATATGTTCATTTTTCGCCCATCAAAGACAAAGGTAGATAATAACCATAATAAAGCCAAGAGAGGAATCAGCCAGTTTGAATGAGTGAGAACGATGTCCTGTCATCCAGTACGGGCTGCAACTCACCTGCAGCCTCCGGCGCCGGATTATTCCCGAATCATCCATGGCGTGGCCCGGCAGGGGGGGGCTGCTGGGCTCTCTGTGGGGGGGTTACCCCCTCACCAAAACAATCCTTTCACCCCCTTTCACGATACGACCCGACGGTGCTCCTGCTCACAGCAGCCTGCAGCAGTCCTGGCGCACACCGGGAATCCACGGATGCGCGCAAACCCCCCCCCACGGGCGTCACGTCGAAGAATTCCACGAACGCACACGCATTCTCCTCCGTTGGGGTTGTAAAGGGGTTTGGAAAAGGGGGAAACGCCTCTTAAGAGAGCAAGGACGGGATACGGAGAGTCTGCTTCATCCGTGACCTTCCTCACCGGAGCATCCCCGGTGCTCCGTGCGCGAGGCTGAGCCAACCGGGAGGCCTGGTCGGTTCCCGGTGTTCCGGTGTGGGGGTTTCTTCCCTGGTTGGAACGAGATCTGTGGATTGTGGAACGCGTCAGCCTCCTTCCTTCCGCGTCCCACCACAAAAGGAACGGCGCGTTCGAGAAAAAAAAAAGCAAGCAGGCGACAGCTGAGCGTCTTCGTCCAGCTGATCCCCCCCTCCCCACCCCCAACCCCACCCCTCCCCTCCTCCTATCCCCAGGTTTGGCTGATTTTATGTCCGACCAGCTCCGCGCCGTAATTTGTCGAAACGCATAGCGATCTGTTCCTCCGTTTCATTCATCCGTTCGTGGCTTCTCGATCGGAACTTCCTGGGAAGTGGAGTCTGGAGCAAACGCGATATTCCTATCCTAACCCCCTTTCCTGGGATTCCCTCTCACGCCCCTCCTCCTACGCCAGCAGCGGAGTAGTGGTTCCCCTCAAATAAATGGGGGGAGCATCCAACCCTACTCCACTCCTCCCCACTCCACCCCCTTTTCGACTATTCATCTGAGTTAAAACACTGGGTTTCAAACTCCAGTCGTTTAGGGTCTGGTGTCCTGCAGGTATGATGTGTTTTAAACCCGATTTGGGTTCAATTGTTCACTCCAAAAGACGGATTTGCGCACGCAGCTGCTGATCTGAGTCGGTTGTTGGGTCAGGGAAACATCTCAAACCCCCTGGGCAGTGGGCCCACCCAGCTGGACCAGAGAGGGACGCCCTGCTCTTATTGTTTCCGGCCAGTTAATGACAGATGTGTAAAGAATCGTGACTAGAGCCCAGATGGACGCCAGTGTCTGAAGCTATTGTAGGTTAGCCGGGATAGTGGAAACAAGGGGGGAGGTTAATTTTCTCTATTCAAAGCAAACCTACCTCCAAACAACTAACAGACGCTATCCTAAAGACATATTTGTACTAAGTCTTTTCTACCATTATCAATATATCTGTTATATTTGTTTTATTGTTCTCATGGAACATCCTAATAGATAACAACTTGTTGTTAACATGCTGGACAAGGCCATAGCAGATAAATGTCTCCTCAAAGTGCTAAATGAGCAGCTGACTGCAGAGACTGGAATCCTCAGAGATCTTAAAGTTAACGTTCACATTGTCCACGTTTAATGGTATGTGATCAAATAGGTTAGCCTTTCTAGTTTTGCCTTTTACTTTGTTGCACATGTCCTTCATGGGAATTGTAGCCCTATATAACTAGTGACTTCTTAAATATGTAATATGTTAGACTGAATCCAATGTTTTTAACAGAAAATTTAGATTGAGATCTGTGTAAATTATGTCCAGATATAGCAACAAAAAATAAAATGAAAATGATCTTTAACAGAACACAGCTGGATATGATATAATAGAGTCAGGCGGCAAACAATAGATTAATAAATTTTATCTAAAATGATCTCAAACTGTAGAAATATTGGCACAAACAGTAAAAATACTCTCCCATCTTTTAATAAATAAATAATCTCTAAATCCAGAGTTGTTTCCATCCCAAAAACATTATCAGCTATGTGTTTTTATAAGCTGCATGCTTCTCATAAATACTAAAACTGAATTTAACCTCCCATGAATCCTTCTCTGTCAGGCTGGTCGCTAACTGTAATAGAACACAAATACCCTCATTTAGCTTTATATCAATTCTCTATCATTGAATTGATGGTAAGATTTTATTGACTCGTTTCACTGCTTTTAAGGCAGATCTGAATATATAGTATATATAACTCAAGAATGGGGGGTCCAGCTCTGTTTTTGAACTATATTTTCAGCATTTGTATCAAAACACAGTTATTTTCTGTTGCATTCGCTACAGATGGAATTGTTATTTCCATCGCCAACGTAGTTGATTTTGTGAAATACTCCTTTGGCAAAAAAAACATTATATAACGCCTTGCAGGGGACCAGGACTTTCACACAGCTCTGATGGGAGCATATGTTCGAGGCTGCCCACGCAGCCGTGACCTCATCACTGCCAGACGCAGCAGGACATCTGCAGCGTTCCGTCCATGAGTCGGAGCACAGCCCGCGGAAAAACAGAGAGGCCGTCTGGTTTCACTTTTACATATGCTTTACTCTGCTCTTCTTCTTTTTTATCATTTAGAAGAAACACATTGCCTCAGCCACCTCTCATTTCTTTATGCGTTGCTACAGAAAAAGGAAATGGGACCAGAGAGCCATTTAAACATATGAAAACAATCTTTGAACACAGCATATTAGCAAAAAAAAGAGTTTATACAGTATAACATACTTTAAAGTCAATGCTTGTGATTTATTCTTCAAAAATAACTGTTTTTAAAACTTTAAATCTTCAGAAATAGGTCTTCAAGTTTCTTGAAGGACTTCTCAAAACTGTTCTTTGGATGTAAGCAGCCATTAGTTTTGTTCTCTGTCCCACTACATTTTGGATCCATCAACAGATTGACGGTCTTTTTATTTCTTTATTTTTAACTGAAGACACGTAGGATGTTGGGCTGTTGCAGCCACTTGGCGGGTAGAGTGGGTGAGTGACGCATAACTCGGAGCTTACTGTCTTTGTGCAAGATTATGTACAATTTCATCAGTGCCTCCCAGTCTGATTGGCTTTTGAGCCCATCTGCAAAGCTTCAAATCTTGCCGTTCTTCGAGCAGAAAAAAAAACAAATTCTCTCCTTTTTGATGGCAAAAAGACCAAATAAGAATTAGATTTAGCAAAAAAATGGCATTTCACTTAGAGCAAATTGTAAAAAAGGCTCTAAAAACTGTTCAAAACCAAAATAATAAACCCGTATTCATCAATATTGTTAAAATAGCTTTTGGATAGTTCACCTTGTAGTCCTAAAAGATGGAAGATTGTTTAGTGTTGCAATTTCTTTAACAAACCCTCTGTGCTCAAGAAAAAGAGGATAAATCTGAAGACTTATGTACACAGATCTTAGTGCACACCTCCCAAATGTTTAAACAGTAATATCTGGAAGGCTTTCAATGCTGTGTCAGAATGTGTTCTGAGAGGCACAAACCAACTCCGAAAAAAAAAAGAAAAAAAAAGCCCTGGTAAGCAGGCTGTTTTTTGTCGGATTAGGTGGAGCTGTCGGGCCCGTCTGGCTGGCGGTCAGAGGGCCGGATCGTCTCGGTGCTGATGGCGGCGGTTTGCTTTTGCGGCCTGACGCTGTGTAAACCCTGACGAGCAGAACAAAACTCTCCCAGCCCCGTCAGCTCCTCTCCCGAGCTCACAAAAGCCGTGTTGTCTTTCCACTCCTCTCCGCTCTGTCACAGCGGCCCATTGCTCCTCACGCTTTGTTTTCCAGGGTTAAAAAAGAAAGTGAGAAAAACCAAAATAGAGGCTGAGGTCAGGCCGGGGTGGGCTCACTCCGTTGAGTTTCGTAATGCCGTCATTAGAGTTTTTGCTGCTGGTCTTGGGCAGCTGCTGAACACAAATGATGCCACGTTCATATCCTCTTACATAATGAAACTGTAATCCCTCCGAGTCTGAAGCGGAACAGATGCTCGGCCGTGTTTGGAACATGAGCTTATGGAGCTGTCTTTTTTTTTTTGCACCGCAGCAAAACGCCAAAGTACAAAGCATCATAATTAACTGAGTGAAGCGGCGCTCAAATCTCACACTGTTCCGGAATTAGGCTGAAGCTCGTCATAACTAGCGTGAACGTGTTGGGCGTTAAAGCCGAGATGCACTATGGGCTGGACTCTACTTTCATTCATCTTTTGAATACTAGACATTGACTTTTATTTAACGATCCCAACATATCACATGTTTCATTTCATATTCGTGCCCATAAAAAGTTAGAGCTGATATCGATTTAAAACATGGAACACCCTGAGCCATGGTTCTGCTCGAGGTTTCTTACTGTTAAAAGAAAGTTTTTCCTTGCCTGTGTCGCCCAGTGCTTGCTCATAGTGGGAATTGTTGGGTTTCTGTAATTAACTTCAGAGTAGGGTCTGACCTGCTCTGTTTGGAAAGCGCTGTGAGACAACTGTTGTTGTGATGTGGCTCTATATAAATAAAATTGAATTGAATTGAAATGTATTATTTCAAGCAGGTGACATAGACAGACTAGAGATCTTAGTTAGAACTCTAAACAAAGAATTATCCGAGCATCTAGTTGAAATTTTGAGGATTGACAGTGCATCTCCGGTTTGTCAACAAAACGTTTAGTGAAAAATGACCAAGGTGTTCCTCAAAGAAACATTGGGAAAGATTAGTGTTTGTGTAGAGGACACAATCCTTAGAATTCACCTTCTATGGCACAGCAGTAAGAAGCCACATTCATCAAGACTGGTTTCAACCACGTGGAGAAAGGGTTGTTGTGGGTCACATTCACAAATGTCACTTGAAATATTACTATATTTTATAAATGTCACTTAAAAAAAGAAGCCTTTCTTCTATGGACTCTCAGGTAATTGTTGTTTGTCTCAACTTTTGTTTTAGAGCAACACAAGCTGCCTTCGAGATGAAATCTTTTTCCACGGATTTGTGGCACTGCAAAGGTGTGGCCCGGAGAGAAAATAGTTCAAGTACAAGACAGCTTTTTCTTTTATTCGGTCCCGACCACCCAACCAAAACCAAAATTCGCAACCTGTGTACCACAAAAATCGATGGGAACAAATTAAATCAAGGTATAAGAGACTAAGGACAA